TTCAGAAAATCATTTTCTGAAGAAGGGTCTAGGCCCGAAACGTCAGCTTTCCTGCTCCTCTGATGCTGCTTGGCCTGCTGTGTTCATCCAGCTCTACACCTTGTTATCTCAGATTCTCCAGCATCTGCAGTTCCTACTATCCTATTCCACATAGTCTGTTGTCTTAGGCACTTGAACTGCAGACTCTCGGATTAAAAAGCTGATGCTCATCCAACTGAGCTACCTTGGGTCCAGTTGAACCAGCATTGGCATGGTGATGCAGCAGGTATTGTTCACTGTCAATCTTAGTTTTCAAACCAGGCAGGTGGACCATAGTTGGTCAGCTGTTGCCATGAGAATGCAGCAATTAGCAATCTCCTACCCCTTTTTCAAAAGTGAAGACTGCTTGTCTTTCAGCATGTATCATTTCAGTTAGCACAAAGCTGCAGACAAGGGATAGTTGGAACAAACTTTAATTTAATTTGGCTCAATTCTAAAGCAATCAGCCAAAAGGTGATCTGTCAGTTTTCCTATCTGGTGCTAACTGCCACTCTCAGAATTCCATTCATTTCTTGTCAGCTGACCCTTTCTTTTGATTGGTGTAGAAAGTGTCTTAGTCAAGAGAAAACTTGTCTGATACCTGGGAATGGGGTGGGTATTTTAAGAAGAAACGTTAGACAGGCTGGAGTTGAGAAGAATGAGGTGTGATCTTATTGAAACCTGTAACATCCTGAGAGAACGACAGGTTGAATGCTGAAAGGATGTTTCCCCCTTATGAGAGAGACTAGAACTTGGGAACACCGTTTAAAAATAGGGTTACTCATTTGAGGAGGAGATGAGGAGAATTTTCATCTGAGGGTTGTGACATTTTGGATATCTTCTTCAGATGGAGGCAGGTCATTGAAAAGTTTTAAGGCAGAAGTAAATAGATTCTTGACTAACAAAGGAGTCAAAGGAAAATGAAATTAAGATCACAAATAGCATGATTTTATCAAATAGTGGAGAAGGCACAAAGGGTTGAATGGCCTGCTCCTAAATTTATTTGTTAAATAAATTACTAATTACTCATTACTAATTTCTCAACTTTTTAGTAAATAAAACTCCATCAACTCTGTGAAAATAGAAACATGGGAGCAGGAGTAAGCCATTCTGCCCCTCAAGCTTGCTCCACCATTCTCAATCAAGACTGATCATCAACTTCAATGCCATATTCCTGTGCTATCCCCATATTATGTGATACTATTTAGTAAGTGAAAATATATCAGTCTCTCTCGAATTTAATGTTTGTATGTCCACCAGCTTCAGAGTTGAGAATTTGAAAGGCTCATCACTCTATGAATCATAAATGGCTTGCATTTTTTTCCTCAATTGTGTCCCCTGAATATCGATCCCACAAATAAACAACCTTTGTACATCAACTCTGTCTATCCATTTAATTTATAGAATTTTAAAGAAATGGATTTTCAAAGTTTTATGAAATATATGATGTATTGGATTAAAAGACAAGTGTTATTATTACCAGTGTAGTACAAGCAATGTTACCTGAGAAGGAAGAACTTGAAGGGTGTCGAGGGGAGAAAGGCTGGGGAATTTCAGGAGGTGAATTGCTCATTCAGAGAGCTGTTGCAGATACAATGGGTTAAACAGCCTCCTCCTGCACTGTAACCAGTCCATAGTTTTTGCAAATTGGTGGCACACAGCCTTTCAATAATGCAGTGGGGATTCCACCTCCATCGTTGGCCCTTTTGGTCCCACTGTCTGATGGCTTTGTCAAGCCTCATGCCAAGTTGGTGTTGTACTGAAGTGGTGGAGGACACGGAGTGTGACGCACTCACATCAAAGACCGCATCTATGTTGAGGAAATCCTCAGTGTGCTTCTTCCAGCGAGCATTGACTGCTATTGTCAGTGTGACCAGCAGGCCCAAACCAGGTGAAACACAGAGAGCGTGCGAAAACCTGGCGCAATCTCAGCCCATCTAACTCCTTGCCTCATCAAACACAGCCTCCGGTGAGGCAGGGCATGCAGTTCAGATCCCCCATCTGGCTATTTAATCACTTTGGGATTTGCAGTAACTCTACCAGTGGAATAAATTAATCTTTGGTCCTGGAGGAACTGGATGTAGAGTATCATATTATTCAAAAGGCAATTTGGTTAGGTTTTGTGATGCACCTTTAGGGACATGTGGAACACAGATACCCAACTTGGACTGGAAGAAAAGTAATCCTTCATCTTTACAAAACTGCCTAGTAAGAAGGAAAAGGAAAAGACTGAAGAAGATCAGCAGATCTGGCAATATACAATGGAGCAAGTAACAGAGTTACTATTGAGTATGGTATGACACCCCTTCTTCAGAAAAGGTAGGACCAAATTGCTGCAGATGCAGATGTTGAAAACAAAAGTGCTGGAGATCACAGTGGGTCAGGCAGCATCCACGGAAAGAAAGCAAGTTCATGACCCTTCTTCAGAAAAGGTTGGTTGAGGCAGGAACCTTTAAGACATTTAAGAAATATTTAGGTAATCACTTTGAAGTACCATAATTTGGGCCTAGAGTTGGAAAATGGGATGAAACTGCGTGGATTCTCAATATCTAGTCCAGACACATTCGAGAACTTACTTGAGAAACTCAGCAGGTCTGGCAACGGCTGTGAAGAGAAAACTGAATTAATGTTTCAAATCCTGAGACCCTTCTTCACCTCTGAAGAGTAGTTGAGGCGGAAATCCTCAAGACAGTTAAGGAGTATTTAGATGGTCATTTGAAGGAGCATAATATGGCCCTAGAGCTAGGAAATGGGACGCTAGACCTGCTGAATTTCTCCAGCAATTTCGGTTCTTCATTCTGTTTAACTCCTGGAACCTGGTCCCTGCCATTCAGTAGAATTATGGCTGATCTGTACATTTTCCTGCATAAGCGTTGATTTCTCTATTGATAAATAATTTATTGAGATCTCTCAACCGAAAAGAACAACACTCTGCAGTATTGAGTTCCAAAAACAACCAAACTTCTGAGAAAGAGAAAGAGTTCTTAGATTTAGATATTTTCTTCATTAACATTTTACACATTTCTGGAATAGGTTAGCCTTGAACCCAGGTACGCTTGATTTAGGACAAGAGTCGATGAAAGAAAGGAAATGTCCAAGGGAAAATGGGAGGTTTGACACCAGATCCTACACCTACTGAAACAGGAGCACCAACCCACTGCTCCGCCAATAATGAAGCACTAAGGTAAAAAGTAACACGCATGTGAGCAGCGGCCAGACATAATGAGGTAGTCGTGCGGCGCCTCCCACGTGATGTACACCCCGCGACGCGACAACCCCACGTGACTCGACGCTTTTGACGTCGCCGAGGGCCCGACCGTTTTCTTTCTGAAGCCGGACCACAATGGACGGTCGCTACGGAGGTGGGTTACAGTCGGGCTTTCCCTTTCCTTAGCACTCGCGACTCCACCTGCCCCATCAGCATTTTCGTCCTTGGTGAAAATCGACAAATTCCTTCTTTTTCTATTCTCCCCTCCTTCAACAACCCCATTACCATAGAAAGCCCGATTTCCTCCGTTGGCGCCCCTATTATTAGGTGTTTGCTTCTACCTCTTTTTTTTGCGCCATTAGTAAAACCGCAGCATTGCCACGGTGGTCCGTCCCATCCCGGTTTCGCTAATTGGTCCAGCCACTCCTGGAGATCCCTGCCATTGGCTGGCGACGATGTCAGTCATCCGCCGAACAGCCTTGGCTCCCTCCGACAGAGATGTCGAATTGTTTTTACAGACGCGGTTCGATCGTTTTTTCTCCTACCCGGGATATTTTTGGAGGGTAGAGGAATTACTGGGGGAGCTTTTTTTTTAGAAATAAGACAAATCTGTGTTCAGCCAAATAAAAATTGTGACGCACGTTTTCGCACGCGTGGTTTGCTATCGCTATTCCGTGGCGGTTTTAAAGCTTGGATGTTTTCCCATCGGTTCCTAATTTTTCTTTTCCGTCTAAATTGAGTTTCATTAAATACTGTGCGTTGATTTCTGGCGGGAGTGTGGTGCATGGTGAGGATCCTTTTTTTTTCACCCACCCCTCTTGCTCCGATGCCCTTTTGCCCGATTCCTTCGATCGCTACAAAATGGCCGTCGCCACCTCCTACTCCAAGCGCGCCCCAGAGCTCGCACTCGCGCGCGCACGCACGCGCCACAAACCGAACACTCCAACTCGGCGTGATGTAACTCCCCCGTCACCCCCTTGCACCCTTGCCCTCTCTTCTCCCTCTCCTTCCCACCTCCGTCGTTTCCCCTCTCTCCCCCTCCCCCACCCCCACCCTTCCCCCCGCCTTTCCATTATTCTTTGATAGTGCTCCCCAGTTTTGCTGCTTAGGTAGCTGTACTGTAAGAGTTATAAGTAGGAATGTTGCTGCCAAATTACTGCAATATTGTTGTAGTAATTGCTTACTAATTCTTGCCATTTATCATCTACTTTTCTAGATCTCTGTTAAGACCTTGTTTTTGAGCAGAGACAGATTTTGGGTATAGAGATTAGATACTTGCTCGATTTGCTTGATATAGAATGTCTTTCAGCCTGCTTTTGTTCACCTGGATATGTTGTCTGCAAAAACCTGGTGATTGCTTCCTGTTGTAATGAACTGTAATAAAAATGAAACTTGTGCAACAATCTCAATGGAGTTGCTTTGGTGAATACAAAATTGGATGGGATTTTCTAGGTTAGGATTATTTTAAGATCTGCCTTGGGAATGAATTTAAGAATAGCATTTCGGAGTGCCTGGTACTAATGTCTGTTGTCACACTATGTTTGCCAACATGAGGGCTTGATTTCACTTGCGTTCACTCATACAGTCATAGAGGTATACAACATGGAAACAGACCCTTCAGTTATCCATGCGACCAGATATCCTGAATAAATCTAGTCCCATTTGCCAGCATTTGGCCTGTATCCCTCTAAACCCTTCCTATTCATGTACCAATCCAGATGCCTTTTAAATGTTGCAATTGTACTAGCCTCCACCACTTTGTCTGCAGCTCATTCTGTGCACACAACATCCTCCATGTGAAAATGTTGCCTCTGAGGTTCTTTTGAAATCTTTCCCCTTTCACCTTAAACTTGTGCCTTCTAGTTTTGGACTTCCCCCACCCCACCCTGGGGAAAAGACATTGTCTGTTCACCCTCACAATGCCCCCCATGACCTTATAAGGTCATCCCCCTTCCATTGATGCTCTGAGGAAAATAGCACCAACGAATTCAGCCTCTCCCTATAGCTCAAAGCCTGTAACTCAAAGGCAGTGTACCCAGCACCGATCGTTATGGCACACCATTGGTCACAGGCCTCCTGTCTAAAAAGCAGCCCTCCATCACACCCTCTGTTTTGTACCTTCAAATCAGTTCTGTATCCAGATGGCTAGTTCTCCCTGTATTTCATGTGATCTGACCTTTCTAACCAGTGTACCATGAGGAACCTTGTCAAACACCTTCATTGAAGTTCATGTAGATCACACAATCAAGTTATTGAGACATGATTTTCCACACATAAAGCCAAATTGTCTGTCTCTGATCAGTGCTTGCTTTTCTAAATACATGTAAATCCTGTTCCTCCAACAATTTGCTCACCACCACCGTCAATCTCATTGGTCTGTAGTTACCTGGCTTTTCCTTATCGCCATGTTGGCCATCCTCCAGTACCTCCTCTGTGGCTATCGATGATACAGATATCTCAACAAGGGGTCCAGCAATACTTCCCTAGCTTTCCCATAGATTTCTAGGGTACACCTGATCAGGTCCGGGGGATTTAGCCACCTTTATGCATTTTAAGCAGTCTAGCACCACCTCCTCTGTATTATGGATATTTTTCAATATGTCGCTATTTATTTTCCCATGTTCTATATCTTCTGTAATCCTTCTCCAAATAAACAATGATGCAAAATGCTCGTTTAGTATCACTCCTATCTCCTGTGGTTCTGTGTATAGGCTACCTTGTTGATCTTTAAAGGGCCCTATTCTGTCCCTAGTTGGCCTTTTGTCCTTGATGTATTTGTAGAATCCCTTTGAATTCTCCCTAGCCCTATTGCTGAAGTCAACTCATGCCCCCTTTTTGAGCCCCTGATCTCCCTCTTAATTATACTCTTCTGGGAATTCAGTCGCTCTCTGTTGTCTGTACCTGGCATATGCTTCCTCCTTTTTCTTGACCAAAACCTCAGTTTCTCTAGTCATTCACTATTCCCTACACCTGCTGGCCTTGCCCTTCTCCCTAACAGGAACATACTGTCTCTGTTTCCTAGGGGAACGAAAACAGAGGACTAGATTAGTGCATTTGGTTACTGTTTCTGTTCAGAACAGGAGGCAAATCTTGTGCTAGGCAATATGGTGCACATGTAATTTGTAATTTAATATTTGTCACAGGTGCATCCCAGTTATTGGGAGGCATATTATCAGCTACTTCTGTATCCAGTCATCTTACAACAGTAGTTATCCAGGCCTAGAACGTACAGCAAATTTAGAACAACTTTTTAAGTCTCTGGTCACATTTTCCTTCAGGTTGGCTACTTTTGGATAATTTGGCACTGAGCACTTAAGATGTGGTAGATGCTCAAAGTTTTAGATTATATCTTCATGTAGTTATATTCTGTTTAGTATAACATTGAGTATTAACTTGCTTCATAGCACTGGCTATACTGAGGGGGAGGTGATGGACAGTGTTACCCAAGCCTTGTTCTGGGTAATTTCCCACCATGGCAGAATCAATAAGTTTGGAATTGAGTCTATAATGTCTATTGTTGGACAAAGCTATTTGGTTCACTAACATCCTTTAAAGAGGAATGTTGTCTTTGCCTGATCTTACCTATGTGTAATTCTAGACGAGACAATGTGGCCAGCCCCTAACTACCCTCTGAAATGGCCTAACAAGCTGCTCAGTTGCAATCATCTCTACAAAGTCTCAAAACAAATGAAATCGAATGGGCCACCTGGACTTCAGCACTGGAAATGACAATGGCAAACACAACTCTTTTGACACTGTGAAGTCCTCCTTACTAATGTCTATGGGCCAGGGCCAGAATTGGGAGAACTGTTTCAGACCCGTCAAGTAGCAATCTGACGTTCATATTCTCAGAATTGTACCTTACAGACGCTATCTCAGACACCACCTATTGGTAGGATAAGCCCAGCAGAGGTAGACTCAGTGGTCTACAATCAGGAAGGAATTGCATCAGTGTCATCAGCCAACAAGAAAAACCATACTTGATCTCATTCTCGCCAGTCTGCCGGTAGATGCATCTGTCCATAACAGTCTTGGTAAAAGTGACCACCACACAGTCCTCGTGGAGACCTGGTCCAACCCTTGATGATACCTTATGTTGTGTTGTGTGGGTACAATAACCATGTTAAATCAGATTTACTTTGAACACGCCCAGCACCTTGAGACTGGGCATCCATGAGGTGCTGTGGGCTAACAGCAGCAGAATTGAACACCTACAAAATTTGCAATCTCATGGACCTATGTATCCCCACTCTACAATCACCATCAAGTCAAAGGATCAACCCTCGTTCATTGAAGAGTGCAGGATGGCATGCCAGGAGCTGCACTAGGCATACTTAACAATGAGCTCAACCTGGTGAAGCTGCAAAATAGTCCTAACTGTGTGTCAAACAGCATTAGCAACAAATGATAGACTTAAGAGATTCCACGTCCAACAGATCAGATATAAGCTGTGCAGTCCTGTTGCATCTAGTCATGAATGATGGTGTATAATTGAACAGCTCAGTGACAAAGGAACTTCTACTGACATCCTCCTCTTCAGTGATTGGGGAGCCCAGCATATTAGCGCAAGAGATAAGGCAGAAGTGTTGAGTGGATGAGCCATCTCTGCCTGCCCCAGGTTCCCCAGGATCATATGTCAATCTTTAACCAATTTGGTTCTCTTGACGTTTTGGTGGGAGTCACTGGATACTGCAAAGTCTGTGGTCCCTGACAGCATTCAAGTACTGAAGACTTTCCAGAATTTTCTGTACCCATAGCCAAGCTGTTCCAGTGAAAAGAAAACAACCTTGTCGCATGGTGAGTAGTCAGGGAATGGAATGCACTGTTGGAAATGTGCTGGAGGCAGGTTCAGTGGAGGCATTGAAGAGGCACTGGATTTTTTGGATAGAAATGGTGTGCCGGGTTATGTGGAAAAGATTGGATCAAATATCCTTCTACGCGCTCATGATTGTGTGATCATCCGTGCTATCAAGCACCACTTGCTTAACAGTATTTGAACTGATTCCTGTTTTGGATTCAGCTCCCGACCTCATTACGGCGTTGGACAGAAGAGGTGATTCCTGATGTGAGGAGAGTGTAACTGCGTTTCATGTCGAGGCTGCATTTAACAGTGTGGCGTTGAGAAGCCCAAGCAAAATTGGAGTCAGTGGAAATTGGTGGTGGAAGGAGTTAAGTTGGAGTCCCACCTGGCACAAAGAAGGATGGTTGTAGTTGTTGGAGGTCAGTCATCTCAGTTCCACAGCCCATTTCCAGGAGTTTCTCTGCGTATTGTCCTCGGCCCAACCATCTTCATTAGTTTCATCAATTACCTTTCCTCCATCATGTGGCTATAAGTGGGGATATTCACTAATGATTGTGCAGTGTTTAACACCATTTACAATCATTTCGATTCTGAAGCTGTCCATACCTAAATGCAGTAAGACCCAGAGAATATATAGGCTTGGACTGACAAGTGGCATTTAAGCCAAATGCCAGGCAATAACCTCCAATGAGAAAGAATCTAACTATAACCCCTTAACAATTTTCATCACTGAATTCCCCACTATCAACATTTAAGGGGTTACCATTGACCAGAAACTGAATTGGGTGAGCGATATAAATACGGTGACTACAAAACGAGGTCAGGAATCTTGCAGTAAGTCATTAATGATGTTGATGCTCCCTGACTCCAAAGCCTATCCATCATCTACAAGGAGTTCCCTAATGCTCCCTAATAGCCTAGTTGAGTGTGATGCCAACAACACTTGAGCATAACACCATCCATGATCATGCAGTCTGCTTGATTGGCACCACATACAAAAACATTCACTTCCAACATTACTGACATTCGGTAGCAGCAGTATGTACCACCTACAAGATGCAATGAAGAAATTCACCAAGTCTTTTTCGACAGCACCTATCAAACCTGCAACCACTTCCATCGAGAAGGACCAGGGCAACAGATATGTGGAAACACCACCATCTGCAAGTGCTTGTCCAAGTCAGAATAGTGAGTGGCTTGGAAATCTATTGCTGTTCCTTCAGTGTTTGAGTCAAAATTCTGGCATTTCCTTTATGATGGCATTGTGGGTCCACCTGCAGCAAATAGAGAGTGGATATTCAAGAAGGCAGCTCTCGACCGCCTTCTAGACATAGGCCTCACTGGCTTTGCCAGCATTTATTGACTGTATCCTATGAATGAAGAAAGTCCTAACATATGGATCATTTCTAATTCTTTTACTATCGTTTCTAGATAATGAAAGAAAGTTAGTAGAATCTTGCACTGTAGTCCTTTGTTTTCTTTCTACATGTTGCATGTTTGAGAAACATTTAGCTGATATGCTGCCATTAATTCTGTACTTGCTTGTATAATATCTCCTGAGACATTTCATAAAGTAATCCTGTATGATACCTTTTTTCTGATTCTTTCAATGTAATTACAACATTCCTCATTTATACTGGATTAACTTTGTTACAAGTTTTGCATGGATAGGAATGTGTAATGTGCTATCATTTGTCTATTTGCCTATGGCAAAATCCTCAAGTTTATTCTTGGCTGAGATATACAAGATGTTGCCAAACATATGCCTTAATGTCTCCACATTGGGGTAATTATTCTGCATTGTTCACAAGTTGAAATTAGGTAGCATTGAAACATCTAATTGTTTTCTTTTTAAAACAAGTGGGTGATATAATAAAATAATATACTCCCTTACATAATAGGAAGTATAGGTGCTAGAAATATGGGCTATTCAGATTGAAACCATGTATCTGTTTCTATTTTGTCTAATTGTAATATAAGATGCTGTAATGTTGAATGTGATTGGAATTGGTTAATGAGTGGACTAAGAAACATTTACTTACGATAAACTCAGTTATGGCCTTCCATTTTTTTCCCCAGTACATTCACAGTGCAAGTTGATTCTTGCACATTTATATCATTCTACAGTCAATTTGATTTACTGCATGCTTATTCTGTAATCTCTAATTGTTAAGGCTTCTCTTCTCATCTCAGTCTTTGCGTAAAACCTAAAACAGTTCCGTGCTAAATTGATGCCTATCTTTTGAGGTGAGTTAGTGTTATATAATTTGTGTATCAATATGTCCTGCAGCTACAAGATGTCTTCAACTTCTTGGTTTGAATGACTGTTAACAATTGAGTATGAGCATTGAGTTTGCTTTTTAAATCTTCTTCCAGAATTTATTTTGCTTTAGTGTTTAATGCATCAGTCTGTCACTGGAGTGGTAATGCACACATTTCGGCAGGTTGAATAGGTATATTCTTTGCACTGGACAAGTGGTAATAGTTGCATTACAGTTGGCACTAAAATTTATAGTTTAGGAAAGTGGGGATTGAGGCAGCAGGGTGGTGATGAAATCCATTAGGTTTTCAACTTGTGCTCTGTCAAATCTGTATGTATACAATGAATATGGTGAATATTATAATCTGTTCAGCTTCAAATCACCTGTCAGAATTCATTTGGCTTGCATGAGCAATGATTATTTATGCAAGTTGCATGTCAGTCCCTTCAGGAGAAGAGATTAGAATATTGACAGAAGTCAGCCTTGGGTCACCTGCAAGAATTGTACATATTGTAGCTCATTGTACATGACTTAACTTGTTAGTTATGTTGAGCTGAATTACCTCACCGTTGCTATTATAACAAATTATGCCAGAATCTTCTGGATTTTACTTCCTTACAAACAAACCAGTGAAGTGTATTTCTGTGAAATTGATTGAAGTATCAATTGAGTTGACGATCGGTGTCTGATTCTGTTTTCCTTAGAGTACGGAGACGATGATGCTTGGAACGCAGGAGGAGACGATGGTCAAGGTGATTTGCTTTTACTTTATCACTTTAATCCCAGAATTGGGGAGACATTGTGGGCTAATAGAATCAGGAATTGCTATTTTGCATTATTTGAACATGTACAGTGCAGGTCCATTATAATGTGGACATTGCAGTGCACAAAGTGAAACAGTTACAACTGGACCATCATAAGAAAAAGTGTGATTTCTCCTATTTTAAACAAGCAAAATTAACATCTTAATATCTCCTGGTATTCATGGGAATCCTGTGCTTTATGAGTTCAGTTTATTGAAACATGTAATGGACTTTCACTGTGTAAGGAATAATGGGTTTATTAGGAAAGCAAGTCTCGGATTCAGTTAATGCCGAGGATCAAATTTGTTATATTGGGCATAAATTGAATAGTAAGCTATGTTATTGATTATTTACTAGATGAGTAATTCTGGGACCTGGACTGACAATCTAGTAATGGTTCAAATCCTACAGTGGTAGCTATAGGCATTTAATTCAGTTAATGAAATTTGAAATAAAATGCTAATAATCTGTAACACGGAAATTTATGGATTATTATTAAAAGCTATTTGGCTTGCTGTCCTTTAGGGTAGGTAATCTACCACCTTTACCTGGTTTGGCTTCCAAATGGTTGATTCTTAACTGCCCTCTGAAATGGCCTAGCAAATAACTCCATTGTATCTAATGTGCTAAAATGACATTTGGAGATAGAAAACATGTTCGTTAGGCAGGGTTAAGTACGTGTGTGCAAAAATAATAAAATCTGCTTATCTGTTCACTTTAATTGTCTGGTCTTTTGAAACTTGTTAGTTGTCCATCCTTAAAAGGTATAGCAATGTACAGTATCTTGGTACAGAAAACTAACACACAGATATACTCAAGTTTTGATACAGCACTTGACAAAGTTGCTCTCGTGAGAAGTTGCGGAAGGCATATTTGTTTTTCTACTAATTTTGTGAGATTGCTAGTCAGATTTTAAAATCTTCTAGTGATTGACATACCAAGAAATACTGCAATGAAATGAGAATGGCATTCCCACATCCAGATCCATTGCCATCCATTTCATTCATAAATTTGCATTTTCATTTAAACTTGCCACTGTTAGAAGCATGGAAAAAATGTAGGTGGTCCTCCAAAATGGAATTACGTAAGGGAATGTGATGACTTGTAAATCCCTTTTCTAAAAATGCATCTGTCAGGTCAGCAGTGACTTAAAGTTAACCAATGAGACTTTGTTCGTAATTGTGTATTGACCTTTGTGGTTTTTTAATTCTAATTTGCCAAAGTTAAATTGCTTATTGCATAACATGAACTTGAATACCTGTGAGATTAGATGTTTGAAGAATGTTGTATTTAAGGTCTTTAAGACAAAGCAATTTGTTAGGATAAGTGGAAGAGCTCTAAGACTAGAGGGTATAAGTTTAAGATGCGGAGTGAATGCTTTCGAGGGGATCTGAGGAAAAAAACTTTTCACCCAGGCAGCATCTGGATGGACACTTAATGCCAGCAGTAGTAAACTATGGCCCAAATGCAGGTAAATGGAATTTGTGTAATTAGGTCTTTTTTGGTTGACGTAGATATGGTGGAGCAAAGGGCCTGTTTCTGTGCTCTATGACTCTGACATTTATTCTGGATTCGGAGGAAGTAATGAAAACGTAATCTTAAAATGAGATCTAGGCCATTTCGGAGTAAAGTTGGGAAGCAAATCTGGAACTGTTTTCCCCTTAAAAGCTGCAGATATTAGGACCATTAATTTTCAAAAGGGATCAGTCCATTGTTGATCGTTTTGAGGGCTATGATCAATTGTTGGGTAAATAAAGTTTTTAAGTACAGATTAGCTATGATCTTATTGAATAGTGGTACAGTCTATGGTTGAAAGTCTGTTCCTCTGACTTATTTCAATTTTTTTCCTAATCTGAATGTCTGATCTTTTGTTTTGTTTCTGTTAGGGTATGATGGCTATGATTACAATTACAACCAAGATAATTCAGAAAATTATTCAGGAAATTATGGCTATAACTCTGGCAATAAAGCTTGGGATGCTCCTAAAAACACTAACACAGATTCCATCATCGCTAAGATCAACCAACGTCTGGACATGCTCTCTCAGTTAGAGTGTGATAATACACCAGGTCGCTCTTCAGGCCAACACAACAGGTATCTTCTGGAAGGTCACTAAATGGTAAAATGCTGTACACATAAAATGAAGAAATTGGCACTTGGGACTGATGTGACACTTCAAATTTAAATAGGCTGGCACACATTTCTTCTTTCCTCCCTCCACCCTCGCCTAACCCCAAAGCAACATTCGCGCTTATCTACACTATGGTGAGAAACCCTGATTTATTCATTATTTTAACCCTTTTTTAATTAGAAGTAACTTTAAATTAACTCAATTAAGCATGGATTGAATGCTTAAGGCTTTAACTAACAATTCATTGTTTAAAACAAAATTATAGCTAATGTTTTGTGTGGTATTCTATGCCAGATTAGCCAGATGCAAGAATTAATCTTAATTTGAGCCACTGGGATTGTTGGCATAATTGTTTGTTTAATCATATGGGGTATTCCAACTATGGATGTGTCAAATTACTGTTTGCAGTAAAATGTATGCTTCATGATGTGCAGATTATAGAATGCTGTAATTATCTTGTAAAATCTCCCTTCTTTCCAGCAATTAGGTTAAGTTTTTGAGGATGGCATCCAGCAAATGAACATTTGTGATGGGGGTTGGGGTGGAGAATAGAACATTGGACAGTTGACGTGAACCATTTGTCTCCAAAGATTGCTGTTGGCCAAATGAATTGTTTTCCAATTTCTATGAAGGAAAGTTGGATATTGAGCGATTGCAGGCTGGTCACCCCATTACTTACACGTGCATTTGTCTTTTTGGTTTCAGTAAGCCACCTTTTGCTGCTATATTTAGTAATTTAGACATGTTTACAGATGTAGAAGTAAAACCTCAGACACCATGATTACCTGAAATATCCTGTTTAGTTTTTAGTCTGCTATCAGTGAGTGGCAGGCTTTTGCCATCGTCCTTTCCAGCTACTGATTAGATTCCTTGCTTGCTCTGCAACTCTTTCAGGTTTACACCTTATGAGTCCTATGACTCCAGGTCTTCAATGAATGACCATGATCCGTACAGATCTGGCTACGGCTATGGTTACGGTGATTCTGGACCTAATTATAACGATTCCTATGGAGGTCACTATGACCACTACGACAACTCCTACGGGACTCGCAGAGATCAGTACCACAACAGAGCATATAGTAGTCAACGGGGTCAGAATTGGTCTAGAGACTGGGCTCCAAATAAGAGAGCAAACTGGAATGACCCCTACATGCAGCCTGGAGGTTCCAGGCGGATGTCTGGACACTGGAATGAGCCAATGGGAGGCAGAGGCTTCAATGCTGCCTCCTCCACCAGAAACCTCCCTTCACTCTTCTCCCCAAACATTATCCCCATGGACCTGTTCCGAGCTCAGGGCTCGGCAAGAGCGTTTGGTGGCAGACTGAGAAGGAGGGACAAGAATCGAAACAGAGGCGTAAGTACCTTTTTTAAACAATGCACTTTATTTTAATCAGTAGCCAGTGGGTATGATCAATGAAGGATCAAAAATGGCCAAGGTACAGGATAACTCTTTGCAGTGGAATGTCCATCTCCCATTTTTAATATCCAGAAATGAGGTGTTTCCTTTGCTCAATCGCTTGTCATTAAGCATAATATTCACGTTTTTAACCAGCTGCCTTATTCAGAATCCTAGGAAGAATGAGGTTTTCGGACATGTTAGTGATCTTTAAGATAGTGTAGTGAGGTAGGACTGTTTTTAAGGTAACTCTTTGTGTGAAGTACTTGAATGTTATGGCTTGATGTAAGACTTCGAATGTCTTGTCTTTTCTCCCTGTACTCATGCGCACACCCCTCCCTCCAGAAGCTTGCGACGCTTGTCCATGTGAGCCAAGTTGATGTGTGATGGTAGGGTACAAGCATTACTGGGTATTGATTTGAGTGTCACTTCGGGCAGGGATTGCACTTTGTCAAGACTGATTCATAATACTGAAACTGCTATCTAAGTGGAGAGCCAGTCTCTCATACTAGGATGTTTGAGGTCTTTCTTGGTCGGGTGATTAAAAGGTATGAAATGTGTACTAAGCCATAGAAAAAGCCATTCCAGGAAGGAAGATCGGCTATGGTATGCTTTTACATCAAATTGCATTGTTCGGGGATACCCTCTGTGCACTTACAGTTGCTTTGGGATTATTAACTTTGTTTATTTCAAAGTTCATGTGCTATAATGTATGGTTTTACACGCAGACCATTTATAATGAATCATTATCTGAATATAATTAACTGATATTCTAAGACCAACTTCTGTGGCAAGAACAAACTTTAATTTGTCAAACAAATGTTTTAAGTTTTTGAAATGTGATTCAAATGCCAATTGTTTTTGCTTTATATCAGAGGAAGAAGGTTATAGGTGGTCCAGGTAGGAAGAGGAAACAGTCAACAAGTAGCACTGAAGATCCTGAAAACAAACAAGCTAAAACAGATGATGGTGAAGATTCTGATGCTGGTACTGAACACTGCAATGTTATTTACTTGGACGTTTTGTACTGTTTATAAATGAGATGAGTGCATGCAAGGTTGAGGCCAGGTTTGAGCTATTGAATAGAGTTGCTGAACAAATGAGTTGCGATCAGAAGTGCCCTTTATGTTAGTGATGGCTCAAGATGGGCCTCTGTCATGCTGCGCATTAGGTTGCAATGTGCAATATGCTGAAGAGAAAAATCACTTGAAGAAAGCGTGGAAGACCTGTTCATATTAAAATATAGGGAGGCCGAATGGTTCTGCTTCTAATCCATTATTTAGAATGACTGAAAAATTGAAATATTTATTGGGGGACAATGCAAATTAGAAATTGTGCATCTCATCCAGTGAAAGCAATATTATCACAAAATCATTTATACAAGACTTCTGTAGCAATTCAAAAGAAAGTAGTTAATGTTGTTATTCTTAATAATCTTACACAGTAACTGTTCAAAAGCAATTGTTTTTGTTTCTTTATTGTAGAAGACAAGGAAGATGATGGGGCTGAATCAGTAAGTAAAACTTTTTTGTTGAAGACTTTCTTGTGAAAGTACCTGAGTGGTTAGGGCATGGGTTAGGATTTGGTACAGTTTTGCTTCTCAAAATTGGAATTGTTTTGATTTGGCCAGGAAGGATGTTTTCGTAAGAAAGGTAGAGATGGGAAGCCAGAAGATGTCTGAATTTTGTTAACGTATTGACCTGGTTCAGTGGTAGCACGTGCTTTTTCTGTGGGGTCGAGCTCAAACCCTACTACAGTGACATGAGTGCTTGTAGTCAAGGCCAACAATTTAACTCTAGGGTACTTTGTCTGCTATAGTATTACTGGTAGGAGAATGGGACATCAGAAAATGTTTTGTTGCATTTACCTTGATTACCACGGTGATACATGTGTAGTGCTCTACAGACTGGGAATCTCTTTGACATCTTGCAATCATTCCTTTCAAGTGAATAGTTTTATATGCAAGGAAGGCAAAAGAACTATAGACTGGCAAACCTGACATCGGTGGTGGGCAAGTTGATGGAGGAAATCCTGGGGGAAAGGATTTACATGTATTTGGAACGGCAGGGATTGATTAGGCATATTTGATGTGGCTTTGTTCGTGGGAAATCGTGTCTCACAAAGATGATGGAGTTTTTTGAAGAAGTAACAAAGAGGATTGATGAGGGCACAGTGTTGGACGTGATCTTATGTGGATTTCAGTAAGACATTTGACAAGATTCCTCATGGTTAGCAAGGTTAGATCACACGGAATAGAGGGAGAACTAGCTATTTGGATACGGAACTGGCTGAAAGATAGAAGACAGGTGGTGGTGGAGGGATGCTTTTCAAACTGGAGGCCTGTGACCAGCAGTGTACCACAGGGATCGGTGCTGGGTCCACTGCTTTTTGTCAGTTATATGAATGATTTAAATGTGAACATAGAAGGTAAGGTTGGTATGTTTGCAGATGACACAAAAATAGGCTGTGTAGTAGACAGCGAAGAAGGTTACCTCTGAGTACAACACGATCTTGATTAGATGGGCCACTGGGCCAAGGAGTGGCAGATGGAGTTTAATTTAGATAAATGTGAGGTGCTGCATTTTGGAAAGGCAAATCAGGGCAGGACTCTTACACTTAATGGTAAGGTCCTGGGGAGTGTTGCTGAACAAAGAGATCTTGGCATGCAGGTTCATAATTCCTTGAAAGTGGAGTCGCAGGTAGATAGGATAGTGAAGAAGGTGTTTGGTATGCTTGTATTTATTGGTCATCGCATTGATTATAGGAGTTGGGAGGTCATGTTGCAGCTGTACAGGACATTGGTTAGACCACTTTTGGAATACTGTGTGCAGTTCTCGTCTCCCTGCTATAGGAAGGATGTTGTGGAACTTGAAAGGGTTCAGAAAAGATTTACAAAGATGTTGCCAGGGTTGGAGAGTTTGAGCTATAGGCAGAAGCTGAATAGGTTGGGGTTATTTTCCCTGGAGCGTCAGAGGCTGAGGGATGACCTTATAGAGGTTTATAAAATCATGAGGGGCATGGATAGGATAAATAGACAAGGAGATAACAAGGTGTA